CTGACAACGACACCCAGCACAGCCCGAGCCCAACCCGAGCCCAGCCCTGCCCAGCCGTCTGTCTGTCTGTCCAGCTTCAGAGACAGCTCAGCCAACGCGACTTGCACTGGGCACATCTTTAATACACTGCAAACAAAATGATGACTTCAAGGGGCACATTGAAGAAATAAATTTATATTTAAAATAAATTTAAGACCTCTCAGTTCGGTCTTTAATTTTGTCTTCTGACTTATTGTTTTTTAATATTTTTACTTCAGCTATTTTAGTTCTAATATTTAATCATTTCTAATTGTATTTACTAAATGCTTTCTAACTATATATGGTTCATGGAGCTAACCAACTAATTCGATGTGCTTCTGCCTATATAATATATAGAAATAAATCTCGCTGCACTGTGGGGCGTTGAGTCTTATTCCCAGGCAGATAAATAGACTTGGTGTTCAGTGAAATTTAATAGCTTATAAAATATATATATTCTAAAGGTGTTAAGTCTGCCTCTTCTAACTAGGAAATCTGGCCTTCTTATCATTTGTGGGACGTCTGTGGAGTATTTTCTCACTGTGCACAGGCACCACGACAGAAATGACGTAGCACATTTCAAACGCCAGCAGCAACAACAAACAATTTTTTCTTTCTGATTGCTGCTGTTGTTGTTGTTGTTGTAGCTGGTGCAGCGAGTGCGACAAGTTGATGCTGATGCAGCAGCAGCAGCAGCAGCAGCAGTCGCCACGGCAGCAAAATGCAAACAAGTATGTCAAAAATCTGCATGTCTGCCACCACTTGCTGCTTCACCGCCATCTACAGCAGCTGCCGCTGCAACAGCAACAGCAACAACAGCAACGGCGACACGAAATCGCCTTTTTAATTTATTGCACAAGTGCTTTAAAAGCCACAGAGCAACAGCGACAACAACAACAACAGCCCACGCCAAGCCATAGCCTCCTCTACACTCAGCCACGCCTACTCGCACTCGCACTCCTACTCCTACTCCCACTCCCTACTTCAGCTCCAGCTGCATCTCCTGCCTCTCCAACGGAGCCTCGGGGTTAGCAGCAGGAGGCAAAATACGACTTGCTTGGTTATTAAATTACAACAACGGCCGCACGAAAGTGAAAAAGACACAAAATAATATTACTCGAAAACTTGAGTGTGAGCAAGAGAGAGAGAGAGAAGAAGGGGACGGAAAAGGGGGGCGGCGGAGTGGGAGCAACAGATTTCTCGTCTCACAATTTCCACAGAAATTATTTGCATAAGAAACGCGATACGCAATACAAATGTGGCTCCAGTCTCCGACCGTCCAGGCTGGCCAACTGCCTCGACTGGAAGATGATGATGCTGATGCCTCCCAAACACGATCGCTTGAGCCATTATGGCCATTATGGCAACGAGGCAATGCGTCATGCACGCACAGCATGCTGCATGACAGCCGCGGCGAGACGATGGAACAAGCTGCAGCAGCGCAGATTAGTAGAAGGCGGAGCCACTCAGCTCAGAGCCCACACAATGAAATGGCAAACAAGACAGATCCACAGAGAGACACGAATTGAGTTGGCCAAAAGCCCAATCTCAGCTAAGAAACTAATCACAGGGCAGCAATAGCATCGACCTCTAAATGAGCTCTGTTAATTACAGCAACCCAACACTAAAAGCAGATGTAAACTAACAGGCAAAACGATAATTCATGAAGACGATTTTTCTAAAATATATTATTATTAACATCGTAAGAGTCAAAGGCAAGCGATTCGTCTAAGTTCACCAGCCTCTGAAAGACTTGAACGCGTGCAAGAAGATTCTCCAATGGCAAGAGCAGCGCAATTTCTCTTCCACTCATCAATCAATTCTTTCGCTTTCATGAACTGATTTCTATATTCATTCAAATCTTAAACCTTTTAAGCAATTGGCCCGATCATCATTTGCACATATTCAAGAACACACAAATGCCATATTCCCCATGCCATAGCACCATACTCTTATTGCTTCGGTTTTCGATATAAATTAAATAAATAAAAAATAAATAAATTAAATAAATTAACAAAAATGTATTTGGGTTTATTTAAATTTCTAACATGTTATTATGTTACTTAGATTAGCAATTGTTCTGCCAGCAAAGAAAAGGCGTGCAGAATCACATATTGAGATGGTATTCCATCTCTCTTCATCAGGCTTGCTGCTTTCCACTAATCTTAAAGTTTTTATATCGCGCATATCAGACTTCATGAATAAAATTTCTCCATTCAACTAGCCCATCGATCAATCAATAATTCCATTCATCCTGCGGGCATTGGATGAACCAACTGAACAAAGCCAGCTAAAACCAGACTCGAATCACAGTACTCGGGTTCGATCCAGAGACTTGCATTGACACCTGTTTCTTTACCTTTGTAGGCTGTGGTCAAGCTAGCTTTTTATTTTCTTTCCAGGCATTCTCATCACTTCTTTAATTTCGTCCTGTTCGCAGCAATTTTAGATCTCAAATTCACTATTTCAGGATTTAGATCTGTATTATTATTTATGGAAATTCGATTTTTTATAAGATACTCGTTGAACGCGCTCAATTCCACTTTAGTCAAGGAAAGTTTTTTCTATCCATTGCCTCTCCGAGGATTTGATCGTCGCTTCACGTCAGATCAAATCCACCGACGCAGCTTAGAGAAGGGAATTCCTTATCTTGCCAGAGTAGCAACCACACTGCTCATCCAACTGCTTGAAGGCAACGTATTATATAAACATATGTAAAGATCATAGAAAGAGACAGATCTCATTAACTCTTGCCTTCCCTAGTTCATTCACTCAAAATTGGGAAATTTCTTATTAAAATTGAGTGCCAAAAGTTTAGATGACCTCGATCAGAAAATCGAGCTGAATGTCATATATATTTATTATAATAAAGACTATATATTATATTGAAACCTGAGTAGAAATCGGGCTTACATAGGCTTGTATTACGTACGCTTTTACCCGCCTTGTACAGAAGTTGATTCGAGTTTCCTAACCCAATGACATTTTGCTATATTTCAATCAGCGAATGTTGATTTCGCAGGCTGCACAATTAGAGTTGAACAAACCTGAAAGTAACTCATTGGGTCAGTGGCATCAAGCGGCAGGTGGTAGGCTGCAGACGGAGCTGTCGAGTCATCAAATGGTCTTCAATGTGTTGCTGTTGCCAGACAAATACGGAAAAACATTTTCCGCTTTGACAACAATTTGCTTTAGATTTGTATCGCATTGGCGGAAACGCTCTGTCGCCCGCTCCGGTTGCTTGTTCGTCAATGGGCATGAAATGTTGCCATAGACTTGCGACTTATCATAATTAAAAATCAGCAGCTGGCCAAGTTCATGCTGCATAGTGTAGTTCAAAAATATTGTGCTCACATGCCGGACAGTGTCACTGGGGACTCTCAGCTTGCAAATCTCTCAAATCTATGCGCATAATTTGAGCCCAGTTGGGCCGAGGAGCTGCAGTTGCCTGATTTGCTCTGACAGCCAGCTGACAGAAATTGATTAAAAAACCATTGCAAGGCGACGCGTCCCACTAGTGGGCCGTCCTACAAATGGGCCCAAAAGAATATCACGTGCATAGTTTCAGCTACAGCCAAAGGTTTTTCAATGCAAATGAAGCTACGTGGGCTGGTAGCTGCCTGGCCTGGAAGACTTCCATTCGAGATGGACGCGTGATACCAGCGTGACTTATGTTAAATCGCACTCCCAAAGCTTTGCTTTTGAAATAAGATTTTATTCTTAAATATAAATACAACTTAAATTGCTGTGAATTAGTTGTTTTATATCAAAATATACAGAGGAAGCCATGGACAGATTGTCAGAGAAATACGAATCAACGTGGCTAAGACTTTGTCAAGGCATTAACTATATAGATTAAAGTAATCATAATCAAATATATATCGATTAGTGAAACTTTTCACACTTTATGCTGAAGATGCTGAAGTGTTAAATCATCTATCTCAGGGGGGTCTATAAGAGTAGGCGATTGTGTGTGAAAGGCAAATTGAATTTTATAATCTGCAAACTGTCTTAAACCATATTTCAATAGCCCAACACATGGGTGTACGTATGCGTGTGGGCCTCTGCGTGAGTGTGCGAGCGCAGGGTGCCAAACATAGTTTCATATGCAACTACTCGCTGGGGGTGGGGGTGGGGGTGTATGACGACGGGCGCGTGGAAGCTAATTTGCATGCAAATGCCAAAATGTGTTGCACCTGCAGCATTAGCATAAGCAGACCTATAGATATCGATAGTTAAGCATAGATATATACAAATGTGTGTGGATGTGGATGTGGATGTGTACGTGCAGCTGGACATGCTAATCAATAGGCCACACGAGTGCCAATGATTATTTTGCCATAAAATTCAGTTAGCTCTCTTGAGAGCTGTTCCAACGTGATGCCAACTGGGCGCTCGATTCTCGATGCTCGCTGCTCGATTTCTATCTTCCAATGGCTTTGCGGCAGGGGCAGTGGCAGTGGCAGGGGCCAAGTTTGCATACGGAATTAGTTGGCTATGTTCGGCTCTCGTTGGCTGTAGTTTTTTGTTGTTATTGCAGTTGCAGTTGCAGCTGCAGAGCCAAGTTTATGCTAAATAAGCCAAGTGCCACGCCCACACAGCCAACGGCCGCCCACAGTAGAAGTCGCAGATGCGAGCGCTCGAACAAACTTTCTGGCCATAAAAGCAACTGCGTAAAGTTGAATGCTGAGCTGCCAGCTCAGGGGGCGACCAAGATTATTTCAACTACTTTTTTTCCTCTCGCTGGAATAGTAGATTTTTCTATTTATTTTATTTCACTTGGCGGCACTGCTACCAATTTTTACAGTTCCTCTTCGGCTAAGAGTATATCCTTTCAACTACTTTTCTTTATTTTTTTTCGAAATGTTTAGTAAACTTCTTGTTATACCCAACCCCAGGCACAGGCCGAGGCCGAGGCCCAGGCCCCACTCTCCCCTTTTTGCGCACAGACAATTTTCCGCGCTGCCATAAAAACTCAAAAGTTTGTGCAATGTGCGCAGTTTATTTCCGTTGCAAATACCTTGGATTTGTTGCTAGCGCGATGAACGGACAGTAGGTAAACTGGGAGAACTGTCTAAGTCATCTGTTGGCTGTTAGCTGTGGCTGGTGGCTGGTGGCTGCCTCTGCATCTGGATCTGAACCACAGCTGCTGACGTCTGATGTTGTCGGCTGCTTTTGTCAACACTTTGCTGCGTTGATGGCTGACAGCTGTATAATATATATAGTATATATAGTTAGTACATACTTAGTTGGCTATTTCACCCACCAGTGCCTCGGCGAAGCTGAGCTATTATGTTGTCGAGTGACTTGACTGCTGCTGCAGATAGATAACAAGTGCTTGAATCCTGCCGTAGATTCTCATATCGAATCAAGATTTTAAATTCCCATTTATCATTTTTTGGGCTACTGTTCGAGTGCAGTCAGGCATTTAAAATGCAGAGAGACTATCATTAAAAGACAACCCTGGTTAATGACTTTCTATATTAACGCACGATCCACTCTCGAGCATGTCCGAAAGGGTAAACGCTTTTCTATAATTGCATCATTTATCAAATGGGCAGCCGTAAACAAATGAAAGTTTCCACAGCAAAGCAGCGCAGATTTCGAAGCTGCCGCCCAGTCCCAAAGAGCCCAAATAATAATCGACATTAATCAGCGAGAGATTATCGATAACACTTCGCAGGCCTTCCACACATCTGCGCCCTCAGCCTCGCTCGGGCTGTCAGCGTGGAGTCCGCGTGTTTACCTTTAGAGCCGCCTAATTGATTACGCCCCAAAAGTCGAGCCTCCAGCTTTATAATCATCATATTCAACTGATGCTTCATCAGCAGCATCTTCTTCTTCCTTGTTGGGAACCCTTCTGTGCAAGCGATGCCAGACCGATAAGCCGACTCCCTAAGCACACTCTTCCCCTCCGATGGACCAGCTCCCCAGTGATTATTCCGACTCTGATTTTTATCTCCCAGCCCGACTGCTTGACTGCCTGACTGTCGTACTGTCTGACTTTTGATGTTTTTGTTTCACGTTGTTTGCTCTCACAGCGAACACATTTTTTATATATTCTCATATTTTCGTATTTTGTTTACATTTACATTTTAATATGAAAATATTCGATGCATATTTGCATTTGATTTGGGAATTAGTTATCCGAAATAGGAACGGGCAGCAGGAGGCAGAAACAGATTTTATCGCAGTTTATTAGTAGATTTTAGATCTGTAATGCAAATGTCGTCTAGATATTGTTGTTTGTACTTCGGTTTGTTTGGCTTTCGTTTATTTATTCAGCAAGCATCCGAAACTCCATGCGTTCCTCAATCCTCTTGAAAGTCTATCAAATTGCGGACCAACTAATTTTCGTAAACGCTTAGCTCGCTCTCGCTCGGCTTGACCCACAAATCCATGGACAAGTCCAAGACAAACAAACATAAATCACCAGAAAAGTACACACACACACACACACACACACGCACACACACACATGCATATGGAGAATGGAATAAAAACTGAAACCAAGCGGATCTTAAATTTAAAAGCAATCTGCCAGGACTTGGCTCTACTCCTACTCCTACTCCTACTCCTACTCCTACTCCTACTCCTTCAGCTGCTGCTTCCTTTGTTTTTGCTGCTGTTGTCTGTGGCCTTTGGCCAATTTTCTTATTAAAAACAACAGAGTCGAAAATGTTTACCAAACACAATTCCCAGCAAATCCTGCGCTGCTCGCTGGCCTAAACTGTAAATAGAGCGGCCAGTGAAAGTGCGGACAGCGCACACGACAGAGAAGAGAAGAGAGAGGGAGAGCGAGAGAGAGATGCTAACAAAAGGACACAAATCCTTGCACCACATGCTGAGCCTGTGTCTGCATTGGGCTCTGCGCCCTGGTGTCGGTGTCAGAGGCTTCACTCTGCCGATCCCATTGTCCGGCCATCGAAATTGAAGCCCCCCACGAAAGGAAAACGGTTTGTTCGAGGCAAAATAAAAAGAAAAAGACGATTTTGGTAAACCCATTAAATGTGCCTCGCAAATGCAGAGCCAAAAATGAGAACAGCGAACACAGACCACAAAAGAATTTTGATCAACCTAAACATACCCTGCAACTGGAAAGCTGAGATGATTCTGGTAATGCTACTAATGTGTCTCAGATAAAGGAATGCCAAGTAAAAGAAACATGTGAAAACAATGCAAGAAAGTGTTGAACAACTTAAGCATACCCTGTAACCAAATGTATTCTAATCTGCTTGTTCCTCGATTTATTTCAAGCAGATTAGTATTCTGCTAGAATCTTTCATTGTTGCAGTTAGTGTGGCACGTGGAGCTCAGACTATCCCTAGTCATGGAACATAACAGATTGATTGACCCGATTGAGTGACTATTCACGAGGTATACAACAGGATAATGGAAACATAACAACATCCTATTTGCTAGTCTTGCACTATTCTTTGCTTATCCTTTGCGCTGACTTTCACTTTCCTGCGCTGCCTTGTTTTATTGTCTGTTCCTTGACACCCGCACTCAGAGAGTGGGAGGCGGAGGCGGAGTCGGAGCTGCAGGTTGGGCATAAATATTTGGACATGCGACTGATTAGTGCGACCAATGGAACCAAATGGGCAAACCAATTTGTTGCCAGCCAGCGAGACTTTAATCGAAAATTGAATGCCATGTTCGGTCTTGGATTGCTCCTGTCCTGTCTGCAAACAACAACTAGAAGCACAAACATCAATCAAGCCTCAAGTTATTTTCTTCTTCCTTTTTTTTTTTTGTCAAGCCAAGGCACTTGGTAGGTGGTGCGGCTTCGTGTGTGCCTCGACATCGTCTTGAGCATTCTTTTGGACACACGCCAAATGCATAGCATTGGCACCCAGCTCCGCCATTTACCTTTGGCTCCCACATGATTTAGTACAACATTTTGCGCTACTCTTTGGTCGCCCCTGCAACACTCCGGGTGCTGCTGCTGCTGCCATGTTTGACTTGATTTCGTCTAAATTGAGTTCAGTATCAACAGAAAATACTTCCGTTTCCTTCCCTGCCAGTCTGTCAGTGTCTCGTCTCTCGACCCCTTCCCTGCCCATCCCTTCTGCCTCGGCTCGCCTCGGTCTTGCATTTAGACTCTGCTGTGTACCTTTGCTTGATTTTGCGTTCTATTTTCAAACTACCAAAGTAATCCAACCAACAAGTCGCCCCCTCCGGCCGAACGTCGCTTTTCCCGCATCGAACAACTTCTGCCACTAGGTTGTGTATAGGTATATATAAGTGTGTGTATGTGTGTGTGTGTGTTGGACTCCTGTATTTACTTTGGCAGCACCTCGTGCTCTTTCTCGTCCTAGTTTCGCTTCTGATTTTGGTTCTGCTTCTGCTGCTGCTGCTGCCTCTGGTCCTAGTCCTGGTCCGCCTCTTGTTGTTTGGCTTCGCCTTCGCCTTCGTCGAGGTGTTTGCTTTATTTTGAATGCTTTTTATGTTCAATTTGTTTCAATTTAATGTTGTTTTGCCAGAGATCAGCCAGGACGCGTTATATTTTGCATGCATTTCAGATGTGCGCACCTTGTATGATAAATGGCATTAAAGGATTTGCGTGAATAACAAACTCAGCGCTGTTGCCAAGGCAAAAACGAGCAGACTTGGCCAAGTTCGCAGGTTAAGTTGCAGCTTTTAGTCAGCTTTTCTCTCAGATTATGGTACGCCGGCAATGCTCTAAGTAATAGTTTTTTCTCAACTGACTCAGTGCCTGGTCTCCATAAAACCGCAAAGTGTAAATATAAATTAGGTAAACTAAAAACTTATATATTATCTCTTAATCAATGAAATAATATAAATGGTAACATAAATAGATATTTCATCCAAGTTCCGTCAAAGTGTAGGCAACGTCTATATATGTGTAAATATATTATTTATGTTTTTTATGTTTTTTTTTTATTTAAATTATATTTAATTTTCTTATATTTAATTTCGCATAATATATTGTATCATATTATCAGTTTATATTATTATTTCATTATATTATTATCTCTGCGGCTGCCTGTGTGTCAGTCCGTCTGCATAAAATCTTGTTTTTGGAGAATGTGAAACTACACACAAACAAATTGACAATCTTCATTTAGTATTTATATTAGTGTTTTCTCTAAATGCTTCAATTTCTATTACATCCATAAGAGAAAATGATTTTGAATTTGCTTTTTGTATTTTATGAAAACTTTAGCGAGTAAAAAAATAAACTTTTCAGTTTTGATATTAACAAATTTGATATTAACAATAAAACACTAAATTACTAAATTAATTATGTCAATATATAATTTAAGATTTAACAATTAAAACCCATGAAAAAGCTACATTTTTGGCTGCAATAACAGCTAAAAACAAATAACAATTTAATTTATATTATTTTCAATTTTGTAGGTATTCTTGATGGAAATTAATACATTTTTAATAATATTTTAATTTTAATAATTTTGCCCACTCCTCTTTTAAAAACTTTATATATGTAAAATACTTTTATACTCAGACCTAATTTGAGCTGTTTGCTCCCTTGCGCCCTCACATGATTGAAACATATTAGCTTCCACTGTAAAATCGTTTGGGTGTTTTATGTTTTCTCCTTTTGTTCGCTTTTTCTTCAACTTTAGTTATTCATCAGAATTAAATGTTTTCACTTCTTTGGAATCGAGGCGCCAAGTCAGTCAAGTGAGCCAAATACCCAGACCTTTTTCACGAAACTCATCAAACATTTTCTTTTATTATGCTCAAAAAAAAAAAGAATAAATAAATAAATAAAGAAATGAAAACTGAACTCAATTGAAATATTGATTTGAGCGCGACTATTTCAAATGAAACATTAAAATTCCATTAGCGGATGCGTTGTACATAAATTTTAGAGCCTCAAAGGCGATGGGAGGGGGCCTTATCGACGGGTCGGTCAGATGACCAGAAATTATGCATTTTGTTTGGCTTTAATTGCAGCACAGTGTATTTATTTAGATCCGTGCAGCAGCAGCAGCAGCAGCAGCTTTAGCTCAGTTCACTCGACTCGCGATAATCAAAAATAATTTATAGAAAATAAATATTTCCACACAATGCGCCGCCGCCCTCGATGCTGGGAAAACAACTTGAATTGCTCCGCTTTCGTGCCTGTGTTTGTTCCATTGTGCTCTTGTTTATTTAAGTTGTCATTAGAATGGTGCAGCAGCTCCATCTACAGCTGCCGTTGGCTTCATGCAGCCAGTCGACGGCATATAAACTTTTCAAATTATCACCGAGGCGCACTGCAAGTGGCCCGGGCCCAAAGGGGAAGGCGCCCATTGGGGCGCGTTCAGCCGGCTGCCACTTGAGAAGTAGGCGGCGTACGTGGAAATCGCATGACCATGTGAAATGGAAGTGGAATGGAATGGAAATGGAAATGGAAATGGAGCCCTGCTAAACAAACTCGGCCCGTTCCATGGAAATCGCGTAGCAAGTTCTTTGGCTCGCAATGGGCCTAGGCCTGGGACTGGGCGCCAGCCACCAGACAGCCGGATATACAAGACAGTATTTTGCTTATGCGATTGAACTGTTTATCGAGCATGTTTAGGAAACATGTTGCGAATAGGGCAAGAACTTAGCACAAGTCCACAAGTCAGGAAAAGGACACATGTGCAAATATATACGTATATATAGACTTGATATCAGCATGCGAATGAGTGCAGCTGTCGGATTTGTTGCCATATAAAGACGAAAAGCCCTGGTCATATATCTGCGGGCATTATCAAGTAATAAGTATAAACAAACTATGTGCTTAAGCAAACTGTTTACAATGGCTGTTGTCCTGGCCGTAATGGCTCGTATATCACATGGCTGCTAGTGGCCTCCTTGAGGCCAAGTCAAAAGCAACAGGCAACAGGCAACGGTAAAAGTAAACGTAAACGTAAACGTAACTTTAAAGCCGCTTACGGCTATAACCAAATGCCATGGCAAACGAAGCAGGTCAAGTCACAAACACAAGGATTACCGCAAGGCAACTGAGACGGCAGCAGGTGCCGCTCCTGCCACAAACAACAACAATAACAAGAGTTCGAGATTAGTGAATAGGAGAGCGGAGAGAGGAGAGGCGTGCAGAGCAGACCAGGCAACACAATAGCCAACACGAAAGGCAATGGCAAAAGCGATTCTGTCAAAATATTTACGATATGGCTCTGGCAATGGCTGTTAAAGTGTAAGGACACACACACGCATGCACAAGGACACATGCTAGGACGGACATGTGTTGTCGACTCACCCACACACACACACACACACACCTACTTAGCGCACTTTTCGCAGTTTTCACATAAGATATATATATATATATATATATATATATATAGAGGATACGCTCTCATCTTGGCCTGCCACACATGCCATTATCCTGGCTGTGTGTGCGGCCAAGGACACAAGCCACACAGGCTGTGATGCTAGTCGAAATTGATTTGTCTTTCTGCTTAGCGTAGGCGCTACCACCCAACACTTTCGGAGCCTGCCTTTACGCTCTTATCCCAAAAACATTGTCATGTAAAATTAAAATTTATGGCTAATTTGTGTGACCGAAGCGTTGTTTTTGCTCTCGCTCTCTCTCTCTCTCCCCCGCTGTCTTTCTCTATTTTTTCTTTGTATTATTCTCATCTGGCATCTCTTGGTATTTGGGCTGGAGTTCCGCCTTATCCTATGCCCAATTTCCAGTCAGCTCATAAATTTTCACAGTTTTTCGCTGGAATATGGAAAGCAGATGACTCAGCGCTAATGGGCTTATCGGGTATAATACCCTGTTTATTGGTAAGCCGATTAAATAAAACTCGCTTTGTTTTAAATTTTGGAATTATGGTTTTAGCTCTTTATTTATATGTTAAATTTCTCTCGCGTAAATGTTAAATTTTCAAAAATCTTTGTGTTTGTTTATTGATTTTCTATAGATTTTATTGTGCACTTTTATAAATATGTATTTTATTTTATTGTAGTCATATGTATACTTTAAAACTTATCGATCTAACATACGTAATTGTATAGATAAATATCACTATATTTGATTTCGGTTCAAGGTTCTTTTGCTAGACTTATCTTAATTAAATTGTTATTCCAGTGTTTAAATGCTTGGAGATTGCAGAAAAGCCTTGGCAATCTCTATGTGTAAGTCGCATATCTCTGATTATGTGAGTGAGTGAGTGAGTGAGTGTATGTATGTGTGTGTGTATTTGAGTCTTTCGATAATGAACTAATTAAGAACTTAAATCGAGTTACTATAAACTATGTACAAAAATCGACCATGAGACTCTAAACATAAGATTTGGCAATATAACAACGTTTATATAGACTAACTGGACTTTCGGCTAACTATGGTAAGAGTATGAGGAATTCGAGGACCGTTGCTGCGATGCGTTTGCGGATGAGTTATATGGACTAGCCACGCCCTTTACAAGTGCGCGCCCTTAACGCTGACGCCTTGGCAGTGGCCTTTTAGACATAGCGCGTGATCTGTGAATAGAAGTCTGATAGACAGGACTGCAGCTGAGCAAAAGTTGGACGCTCTCCGGGTAGCAGAGCCCAGCAGTAAGCCATGATCGTAAAGCTGTGCAGGCAGAGACAGAGAGAGAGAGAGGGAGAGAGAGGGAGATGAAAAGAGAGGTTAGAATACTATCCAGTAAGCAAGGTCTTTGGCGCTCTCTACTTACAGCTCATCAGGACAGTTGAAGGGCTGAGCCAGACGATAACCGTCCTTTAAGTAATGCTCCATTTCAAAGGGGTCCACTTCAGCGTAGGGCTGCTTTGCCGATGTACAGAGCTCCCACATTAGCACACCGAAGGCCCAGGAATCGCTCGCTTCGGAGAATTGCTTATGCTGCAGTGCCTCCAGCGACATCCACTTGATGGGCCGGTTCTCGCTGTCGCCCAAGCAATTGTAGTCCGAGGGGAAGAGATCGCGCGACAGCGAGCTGTCGGACAGTTTCACGCGAAGTTGATCGTCAATACTGAGAGGGGAGAGGGAAGCACACGTTAACGCATAAAGATCACTTCTTACGAGGAGACCTTCAATTCTTTTCTACTCACATGCAGTTCCGTGCGGCAATGTCCTTGTGCACTACGCCATGACTATGCAAATGGTCTAGAGCCATGGACAGCTGCGAAGCCATCATCACAATCTGAATGGTGGTAACAGTTCGCGCACAGGCCGGATCCAGCAGGAAGAGCTTTAGATTGCGTGTGTTGTTCAATGCGGGATAAAGAACAAATGGCGTCGTATGATCCTCGATGGATACGCCCAGAACGGAGAGGATGCCAGGATGAGAAGCGCCATACAGCAGCATGCCCTCCTGCAGCAGTAGCAGCACCTGCATCTGGCTGGCATGCTGAGCCACCGTCTTGACGAGCACGTCCTGGCTGTCATTGTATGTGCCACGATAGACGCGCCCGAAAGTTCCCTCCTGCAGCAGACTGGAGAGTCTCACGCGACAGCGCTCCACAGTCAGCTCGGAGATGCGACGATGCAGCTCTTCCGGCTGCTGTTGCTGCTCTACGCTTACGGCGACCTTTCGGGGCAGGGACGAGCCATGAACAGGCCCAATAATCGAGGGTGTCATGTAGGCAGCAGAGCCCAGAGACGATTGACACGGCGGCTGCGTGTTGAGGCGCTGAAAGCTGGAGGTTCGCATCGGCTGGCCGCCATGCTGATGATGTTGCCGCTTAGCCGCAGCACCCCGCACACAATACGCAATCACGAGGAGTATGCAAACGGCGCTCATGGCCACCGTAACGCCCACCACCAGGGTAATGAGGCCCGTGGGCGGTGGCAGCACTGTTTCCAACAGCTGTGGATCATCTACATCGTTGCCCGCCGTCTGCAGCTGCTCCTCGTCGCTGTCGCTATGCAAACAGATCTTCTTGCGCCGGAATACCAAATGGGTGACATTATTCAGAGCACGATTCAGCATTACCTCCATGCTGATGGTGATATCCACCTCCGCAGCGCGCAACCCGCTGCACTTGAGCGCCACGGCCCACGTCTGAATGTGCGTCGGAATCTCGCCGATATGTGACACATTCAACGCTGGCCGAGGCAGCACCTCCTGGTCAGAGCTAACCACGTTCAGGCTGTACGGCAGCGGTCGCCCCGCCAGCGATTGCCACGTGAAGCTCACGTCCCGCACATTCGCCGGCACCGGCACAATGAAATTCAATGCATAGTTGTTGATGTGGCCCTCGCGCACATAGTAAACCTCCGCCGAGACGCCTACAATGTATAAGCAGACGATTAGTATAAGCTTAACTAACAATTAAAGCAAGCTCATATCAGATGCTAATATCCTATTAGGCATATAATACAATGCACCTATTAGACATCATATGCTAAGCTATAAATCATATTATACTGGGAAGAGAGAAGTCGCATCTTCACTTGAATATAAATAAAATAAATCTGATACAGAATATATATAAGCGTGCAGATAATCATATAATATAATATATATTAAAATATATATAATATATATTAAAATATATAATATGCATATAAAATAGATATAATATATAAAACAGATCGATTCAGTAAGTCATCCTTATCAAGCATATGTAAGCTTAATAGGGCCGATCAGCCTTCATATTATCTGTCAAATACATTTGCACGAGACCTAGAAAAGATCAACCTTAGACTCTATAAGAAATTGCACAATTTCTGATTATGAGATTGCTCAAGCGTTAATCAAGTTCAGCTTCGAATCACTTCAAGTGTGTATATTATACACGTTGAGATAGGAGAGCTGTGGAAGTCAATTATCAATATATTTAAGAACAGTTTGGCCATCTCATTAAAGCAATACAATTGAATGAAGAACGTTAAAAAGATCATTTTAAAAACAAATATCAAAGAAATAAAGCTTAAAAGTTAATTGGGTTTTCTTTCAGTTAAATATAGATATATATATATATATATATATAATATATATATATATATACAATTCTGGCTGATGATTTTTTGCATAATGAAAAACTCAAACTTGTTTGAGGGTTTTCCATTCAGTGAGCCACAGAGTTGCATATTTCATTTAACCAACATAGTAGCTTGTTAGCCCAGCCTGAAATTGACAAGGAAAAACTCGTGCGATTCTCAAGACCGCAAGCCACATTGAACTAGTTCATAACTGCAGCCAGGCATTTGCCTCACGTTCAGCAATCGACAAATTTATAGAAACAAACTCATGCACTTCGCATGTAGATTTATCTAGATGCACTCAATGCGCCGAGATTTCCATAAACCAATACGGAGCGAGAGAGGTAGATGGAGCCAGTGAGTGGTAGAGACCCGACTACGTATTTTGTATAAATAAACATGCGCGACCGAGTTTAGGGAATTCCTCGAAACTATTTTCGAGTTTATCAGTATCTGTATCTGCAGCCGTATCTGTATCTGTATCTGTATCTGTATCTGTATCTGTATATGCATGTGCATCTGTATTTATATGCGAGTCTAACAAAAACAACTCGTGTCGCCGGGCCGCAGATTCTGAATCAGTTTCAGTTATTCCAAAGAAGCCGCATCGGGCAAAAAAGGTAAGAAGACAAACAGAAATGAGCCATGACCATGTCTGAGATATGTTCTTTAGCTCGTGATTGTTGCTGTACCCTCCCTCACCAACACTCTCTCTCCCTCTCTCTCTATCTCTGTCTTCCTTTCTTACCCATTTATGTTGTTGCTATGATTTAACATTTTGTTGGGTTTATTTGCGGTTTGACCAAAAATCGAGTTAATGAACCATCTAGAGATCCCTGCCAGCTATTGCCAACTCATTTTCGTTTCTTGCGCTTGTTTATGTTAATGATTATCAGGAAAAAGTTCAGGTAGTCCCAAAGAGATTACAAGTAGTTCAAACGATAAGCAGAGACCACACACGAGAGCTAGTTCCATCTGATAAATGCTTTCTTTATTTATTCTTTGCCTTTTAATTGCTGTTACTTTACGTCTATATTATTCGCAGACTGCTCACAAATGAACTAGTTCAACTTTAAAAATAGTTTACTGATGGGAAAGTCTTGTATCTACGAGTCGACCTCGACGCTTTCATATAACTTTTAACATTGTTTTATGCTTCTCTACTAACTATATCAAATATCGTATATTATGAGCTATATATGAACTAGCTAGAACTAGAATTCAAAAACTCTAAACTGTCAATGGATTAAATATAAAATACGCCTCGGTAAATTTACATAGATGATAGAGTTAGACATTTTTGTGGAAATATCCAAATATATTTCACTTCGAGCCTTCAGTTTGGTGCATTCAACTCTGTGCCCAGCAGGCAGCAAGCAGCAAGCGGCAGTTGTTGGAGCCGCGGAAAAGCACAGGAAATAATTTACGAAAAATGGAAAAGTGGAGAGCGGGGCACACTTCCTTTGACAACTGGCAATAACAATAAAAATCACTGAGCATGTAGGTTGACATAGACATAGACATAGACATAGACGTCGAGCATGGAGCATAGAGGGCAGAGAACTGACTGCTCGGAACCCGCCGAATGTCTCAACTAGGCGGCGACGAAGTCGCGTATAAATTGTGTCAGCCAGAGATACGTTGGCCCACAGTAGGTGGCAGCAGTAGGAACAGAGTGAGTGAGGCTGTGTTGAGAGTCTGAGGCAGACAGCCATGTCGCGTCGTTGCGACTTCCTCTTGAATGTGCAACATGTTGCACACTGTGTGTGTGCGACAAATTCCTCGCTAGCATTTTAAAAATAGCGCCCATGACTTAATCAAATGCAGTGCCCCGCGGGCCGATCGGCCGCACGCTTCCATTGACCCTTTCGACTGTGCGAGTGGCTTAGGCGAGGCAGTCGAGTTGGCCGAGTGAGTGGCATGCAGCACCTAGCTGCAGTTCGCAGGTTCATGTGAAAGTTAGAGCTTGCCTCTTGCCTCCTTCCTCAAAAGCAGCCGCCCGCCAGCCAGCCAACAGTTGAGGCTGTCTTGAAGTGGCGTCGTCTACCTTCATGTCACGAGCAAATGTCACTCGCATGCGCTTGCCTCGACGGCTCTTGAACTTTTTTAACCTTTGTGTGCGCCATGTTCATAACTAGCTGCATATATATATATATATTTTTTTTTTGTGGGGCGTGCCTGAAGCTACAGTTGCAGCCACAGCAATGGCAGCAGGAGCAGCAACAGCAGGCAGGCAGGAGCCAAAGGTACCATATCCATATCGTATGTCGAATTTTTCAGAGCGTGCAGTCATGACGTTGTTGTCGTTGTCGTTGTCGTTGTCGCTGATGTTATTGTTATAGCTATGGCTATGGCTAAACCTACTGCAATTGCTGTTGTTGTTGTTGTTGTTGTTTGGCAGTATTTTTTAATAGCTTTGCTACCGAACCGTGAGTCGTGACCATTGTGCAGTCACTGCGCTGGAGGACTCGCTTAGGCAGAAAGGAACTAAATCGAAACTAGACAACTACCAAGACACTCAAAAATGTGTTTTCCATTTTCTTGTAATTAGCGTTGCAACTCGTGAACTCGATATACCCAGAGCTAAAACCCAAATGTCGACTGGCTGCGGGTCCAAGCTTCAGCCCAGTCGTTTCATTTGTCAACTGCTCTGCGTTCGCTTTTTTCTCTCCCTCTCTCCCTCTCTCTCTCTCTCTTTCTCTCTGTCTATCTGTATGGCGTGTACCCGATCGAATTGCAATTGCTGATAAATGATGCGCACGCTTCACATTAAGCTTTGCCACCTTCCATAAGCTAACCAGCCTCCTGGCTAATATGTCACGCAACTGCATGTCGAGCCCAAGCGAAATATAAATAATACAAATGATCTGCTGTTGCCCGGTGACAGCGGCTCGGTTTGGGTCCACCCTAATGTGACTGGGCCAGATATCGCTTACAGGCTAACAGCCCGCCTCGCCAAGTAAAACGCCTACCACATGTCAACATTTAACATGAGTTTTTGAGCTTTTCTAAGCGACGTATCTGCAGCTCTATCTGCAGAATGAATCTGTATCCGTATCCACGTAGACTATGTTGATGCTGCTGCTGCTGCTGTTGCTGCTGCAAGTCGTGCCCGTTTGCTGTCTCTCACGTCGTCGTTATGATAAATGATGCGCCTTTTGTTATTGTTGTTTTTCCTAATATTTTACTGTGTTTTGTTTCTTTTCTTTTGTATTGTATTTTTGCTGTTTTTGGGGTTTATTCCGCTTATGGAGCCGCGGGCGCAACGTTCTCGTTTCTGGTTACTCGTTTACGGCTTTGATTGTAACAAATTTGTGCCAGGCTAAATTAGCCATGTTTTTTGTTTTGCTTTGTTTCGGCCGGGGGATGGCGGCAGCCTCTTCAGCCAGTTGTTTGGCAACCATTTGGCACAGATTTTACTTTTAGCTCTTGGCCCGCAAATTGGCTTAAATTAATCATTCAAATTTCTGGCCTGACGCTTTGACTAGCTGACAAAAGTTTATGGCTCAGCCTGTGTTGGCCAAAATCAATAGTAATTAACCTTAATCGCTTCTACACGCCGCCACAGCTCGACTACTCAGAGAAGCTGCCATCAAGCATTGGCCATCATCTAATGCGGGAGAGCCCAACGCGCCTCAGAGGTGCAATGCATGATGAAAGATTCCAATCATTAATCTCAACTCAACTCGTTCATAATTTGGAAGAGTTCAGCAGCGACTGTCGACACAAATGTTAACAAACAGCTACAGTAACGCGATAAGGCCAACTAACGCAGAAGATAGCTCAAAGCCTACAACTATTTCGAGCAACAAAGGCTTTACTAAGTCAGATGCAAAAGCGGAAGAGGCAACTGTTAATGACACTTAACATTCCAACAAATGTTAACTCTTGTTTTACATTTCTGTAAGAACTGTGAGACTGTTAATGACACCTAATATGCAATTATCGGGTCGATAAATGTCTAAGACTTCACATTAATAATTATAAAAAATATATATATATTTATATATATATTTTAAAATAAAATATATATAATATATAAAATATATATAATATAATATAATATATATATATATAATAAAATATAATACAATACATTATAAAATATAAATATATATTTGATATAAAAATTGGCATACAAAATCAATAAATGCTATCACATTGCATGTTTTAATTAACATCATTTTTAGTCAATCAAACTTTTTTGAATTTCGTATTATTTGAGCTTAAACTGTTTAAGCAATTCACAGCAATTATCAGATAAATATAATTCTATACTTTAACAACCACTCAATGTTCATTTA